CCTATTCAAAAGAGACATATATATCAGAGCATAGCAAAAAATGCAAGAATGTGACCAGTCAAGAAGGAGATGACCACCTGATTCAGAAGAAGCACATATCTCAGACATTTCTGTTAGAAGGATTGATCACTTCTTAAGTTTGTGAGAACATGAAGAGAATCCCTCAAGTTACTTGACAACACTGTTGTTTAGTGACACCCGAATGTGAGCATTCAAGATTAAGAAATTGGGTACCAAGAAAGCCACGAGTACCCTAGGGTCTATTCCGACCGCCGCCTTAACGCTCCACTCCAGCCGCTTCCACGCCTCCGTCGCCTCAATCGAAGCCTCTAGAAGACACAAAGACGTCCGCACACGTTGCAACCCTATGGTGAGTTACCACAGTAGCTTCGGTGACTCACCGAGGCTTTCTCTCTTTAACTGATCCGAAGGAAGCACCGTGGTGGCCTATAAAAGGCCACCGAACTTGCAAAAGAGATGACACAATGACAGCAAGACATCGAACAGAAAAAAAAAGAAAGAAAAAAGAGATACAGAGAGAAACCACAAAAACCAATAGATAACTAAAAAAGAAAAAGGGAGAGAAGACTTACCATGGTTGTCAGAGCCTCCATGCGCCATCGTAGAACCAAAACATCGAAGGTAAAGAAAATTGGCTAAAATAAGCTTGGATTTGGGTTTAGAAAAATAAGGGCTTTAATTTGGGGTATTTTTCTGAATTTTGGCCACCGTGGGTAGCGGCTGACGACGGCAGACAGCTATCGGCCGGTGACCGGTTTCCCTCCGGTGAGGGAAACCTGGAGAGAATGGAGAGCTTCTCTCTCTTTGGAGAGAGAGGCCAAAATGAAAAAAGAGGAAAATAACCCTTTAGGGCCGGTTAAAGGGTTTAAATACACCTCCCTGAACAGTGTCGTTTTGGGGAGGGCTGTTTGTGTAATTTTGAAAAGGGACAAATATTGTCCGCAGTCCTTCTGATTTTGTAATATTTCAATTTGATCACTGAAATCAGGTTTCTAAGTATTTTAATTTTGTCTTCGCATTTAATTTTATTTTTAATTTAGTCATTGCTTGTATGTTTATTATTTAGGGTAAAATCCCAGATTTAGTCCCTTATATTTTAATAATTTATATTTTAATCCTGAATAATTGATTAAGGCTAAATTACACTGTTAGTACCTATATTTCATGATCTTTCTGTTTATATCCATCAACTTTGATATTTTACAATTTAATCCCTGATATGTTAATAATTTTTATCTTTGACTATAATTTTTATTATTTTTTAATATAATACTATTGTTTTAATTTTTTATTATATAGTCACAATTATATTTTTATGAAAAATTCATGGGTATAACTTGACCAATTTCATAAGCTGATTAAAGGATAATATTTATTTATTTTAAATATTAAAAAAGGGTTGTCTTAAAGTAACTAGATGTCATATTCTTATATTTTAAAATAAATAAATACCCTATTTATAAAACCTGAAAAATCAAATATGCCTATTTTAGTTAAATCAAGTTATTTTAATATGATTTCTTGAGAAATATTATCATATTTTTATTATTTCAGTCTGAAAGAGAAATATTTGCCCTAAAGTATTTTAGGGATTATTTTCTCTTCGATTGAAAATATTGGAATATTTTCTATTTTTCCTTAGAATTTTCTTTAAATAAAATTTTGCGATTGAATATGGAATAATAGGATCGTAAATTAAATTTATATTGGATTTCTTAAATTTCTATTAGTAGAGACAATTTATAATCGATGAGTACCAATTTTGGGCATTGTAGGGGTGCTAATCCTTCCCCAAACATAACCGACCTCGAATACCTTTTTATAAAAAGAATGAATTTTTGGTTATACGCAACAGGTTTATCTTTTAAATATTGTTTTCTTAAAAACTGTTTTAAAAGATGATTTTTAGGTATTCGGCCTACCTAACCCAAAAGGTCGATGTCGACTCCAAAACGTTTCATGAAAAACCATTTATTCACTTGCTTTTCCACCAAGAAAATTTGTGCTCAGACGAAAATTGGTTACAACAAGAGGTCACTTCAGTTGTCTTTGGACTATTTTATTAGGGACTATCCCAGAGCTCAAAGATCTACCCCATCTGTTCAGCGAGGTCGAAGGTCCTCGAGGGGTGGCAGAGCTAGTTCAGGGTAGCATAATGGGGTACTACCATATCGGAGTCTGCTCAAGAGCACAGGGTAGCATCGCACCAGTATGTCGTTAGGTCCTATGAGGAATGTGATGTTGTGAATGTGATATCAGGTATATTTATGATTTTCTCCATTCTTCTTATGAAATTAGTAAATTAGGGTTCTTACCCACTCTTATTTTATTATTATCTGGTCCGAGAGAGAAATATCCCAATGAAGGACTTAGAGATAGGGGTCAGAGTGTCCATTCCCTTAGGATTAGACATTTTGGTTCACTATCGTTGCCTCGTAGAGATTCAGGGTGAGATATTCTTAGCTGATTTAATAGGGCTATCGTTTCGAGATTTCGACATGATATTAGGCATAGATTGGCTTATCGAGCACGATGCAAGATTGAGGTGCAAGGTGAGACAACTAAAAATTTGCAAGGATGATAGAACCAAGGTAATGATGACCGGTGAGAGTTCGAGTTGCACTACTAAAGTTATTTTGGTGATTAAGGCTCAGAGGTTGTTGAGTTAGGGATGTAAGGCCTTCTTGGAGCATGTTGTGGATACGCGAGTCTCTATTCTAACGTTTGGGGATATATGTATTGTACAAGAGTTCTATAATGTGTTCCTAAAGGAGTTTTAAGGATTACCACCTGACCGTGAGATTGAGTTTAGCATAGAGGTTTTGTCATGATCAACTCCAGTGTATATTGTATCCTATTGTATGACACCGATATAGTTGAAGGAACTAAAGAATCAAATTCAAGAGTTGTTGGATAAAGGCTTCGTTCGACCGAGCGTTTCACCTTGGGGAGCATCAGTCCTCTTTGTCAAGAAAAAATATAGGTCAATGAGGCTATGCATTGACTATCAACAACTGAACAAGTTAACTATCAAGTATCGCTACCCTCTCCCTCAAATAGATGATATATTCGATTAGCTTAAGGGCGCATGTGTGTTCTCCAAGATTGATTTGAGGTCAGGGTACTCCCGGTTAAAGGTTAAGGATGCCGATGTAGCTAATATTGCCTTTAGGACAAGATATGGCCATTATGTAATTCTCGTTATGCTATTCGTACTCACCAATTCCCCAATGACATTCATAGATTTAATGAACCGAGTTTTTCATCCCTATTTAAATCAATTTATGGTAGTCTTCATCAATGACATGCTTGTGTATTCCCGATCTAAGGAAAAACATGATCAACATCTCTGCATTATTTTGCAAACACTTACAGAGCGTCAACTATATGTCAAGTTTAGGACTTCATCGTGTTCAATGATGCATCATTGAATGGTTTAGGATGTGTTTTGATGCAAGAAGGGAAAGTTGTGGCATATACGTCTCGCCAGCTCAAACCTCACGAGCACAACTACCTTACTCACGATTTGGGATGTGTTCAGACACAACTGGAATCTGGTAAGGACTTCATTGTGTTCAGTGATGAGTCACTGAATGGTTTAGGATATGTTTGATGCAAGAAGGGAAAGTTTTAACATATGTATCTCGCCAGATCAAGCCTCATGAGCACAACTACCCTACTCATGCTTTGGAGCATATCACAATGGTTTCTGCTTTGAAAATTTGAAGCCACTACTTATTCGGGGAGAAGTGTCACATCTTCACATATCACAACAACCTTTTGTATCTGCTTACTCAGAAGGAGTTGAATTTGAGACAACGAAGAAGGGTAGAGCTTTTAAAGGACTAGAAATGTGTGATCGACTACTACTCAGGTAAAGCGAATGTCGTTACAGATGCTTTGAGCAGGAAAATCGTGGTGGAGTTGCGAGCCTTGCTGCCACGTCTGAGTTTGACTGATTTTGGTTCTTTTTTAGTTGAGTTAAGGGTTGAGCTCGAGCTTGTAAGCAAAGTTAAGACATTTCAAGATGCGAAAAAATGATTTAAGGCTCAAGTAGAGTAAGTCCTCCGAGGCGAGGCCCTCAATTTTAAGTTATACGTTGAACACATACTGTACTTTTGAGGGCGTTTATGTGTGTCAGCCGATAAACAGCTTCGGGACAAGATCCTTTATGAAGCGCATTGTATCCCCCTCTCTGTTTATTCGAGTAACAACAAGATGTACTAAGAGCTTTAACCATTGTATTGGTGGTCAAGCATGAAGAGAAAAGTGTCTGAATTTGTAGCTAAATGCTTAGTGTGCCAACAAGTTAATGTGGAACATCATGTTCCCTCATGTTTGCTACAGTCGATTTAGATTCTACAATGGAAATGGGAGAGAGTGACGATGGATTTTGATACCGGTCTACCGATGACGAGATTCTGACATGTAGCCGTATAGATCATAATGGATCGATTGACCAAATATTCTCATTTTTTTCTGGTTCATATAGACTTCACGTTAGAGAGATTGTCTCGACTATATATCTACGAGATTCTAAGATTGCATGGAGTCCCTATCTTGATCATTTCTGATATAGATATGTGGTTCACTTCTTGATTTTAAAAAGCACTACATTAAGCTTTGGGTACTAAACTGCATTTTAGCATCGCCTTTCATCCTCAGAATGATGGACAATCTTAACGAGTCATTCAAATCTTAGAGGATATGCTCAGATGCATCATTTTGGATCTTAAGGGTAGTTGGGAGGATCACTTACCTTTGATGGAGTTCATGAAAAAAAATAGCTACTAGGCAAGTATTCAAATGGCTTCATACGAAGCCTTATTAGGGCGCAAATATATAACCCTATTTGTTGGACAAAGCTCAATGAAGGTAAGATAGTAAGTCCGGACTTGATCCAAGAAATCGAAGAAAAATTTTAGTTGATTAAGAGTCGATTGAAAGAGGCTTCTAATAGATAGAGGTCGTATGTCGATATGAAGCGCAAGGATATTGAGTTCACAGTGGGAGACAGTATTTCTCATGGTTTCCCCATGGAAAAAGGTACTTCGGTTTGGACACAAAAAGAGGTTGACCCCGCTATTCATCAGACCATATGATATTTTGGAGAGAGTTGGTTAGTGGCTTATCGGTTAGCTTTGCTTCCAGAGTTAGAGCGCATTTACAATGTGTTTCACGTCTCCATGTTGCAAAGATACCGATCCGGTCCGTCCCATGTTATCCCTCTTGAACAAGTTGAAGTAAGGCAAGACTTAACCTATGAGGAAGAACCAATTCGAATCCTTGCTAGAGACGTCAATGAGCTAAGAAACAAGAGGATACCAGTGAAAATTTTGTGGAGGAACCATGGCGTAGAGGAGGCGACATGGGAACTCGATGAAGACATGTAACTTTAATATCTGAACCTCTTCTATTCAGGTAAATTTCAAGGATGAAATTTCTTCTTAAGAAGAGAGATTGTAAAGCCCTGAAATACAGGTTAGGAGTTTCGGATTTATTCGTTTGGGCTTATGAATGATTTTACCCTAGTATATGAAACCTTGGACCCAAGTGGATTTAATTTGGGCTTGGGATGAGCCTACTTAGCTTAAGAGGGGATGATTTTAATTATACATTGAATAGGGAAGGACTAAGTGGGTAGTTAACCTATTTTTAAACCAAAGGTTGAATTCCCATTAAGAGGTATGATCTCACGTATGTTCCTCCTATTCTCTTTTTCATACAAAGCTTGTCTTCTTCCTCTCTAATCTTTATATCTTTTTCTCTCCCACAACCAAGTCAAAGTTGAGAACTTTAAGAGTTCCAAGCATTCATTGTGAATTATAAGGTAAGATTCACAACATTCATTCATCAAGCTTTCATTCAAACCCACTTTTACAAGTTTTTGCTTTATCTCCAAGAAAACGGGTTTTGGAGAGGTTTATGGAATCCTGGGTTTTAGCTTGTTTTATGAGTTTTGCTTGGTAAGAATTGTTTTTGGCTTTTCCCCAAGGTTCAAAATGAACTAACAACTCATTAAACTTGTTTTGATTAGTTCAAGAGCAAGGTGAGAGATCAAAGGCTAGAGGATAGGAAAAGCTAATCCTTGGGTGATTTGGGAACGTTTTTCAGTCACCTAGATTCAAGGTAACACTATTCTAAATTGTCCATACCACATGTAGCTCATTAAATGTGCATGCATGTTATGTTTTGTTCATGCAAGCATGTTATGTTTTGTTCATGCAAGCATGTTAGAGTGATTTCATGGCAAGATTCGTATATGTGTGTTATATGCATGAAATACGAAACCTTTTGACCTCCTCTAAGACACCAAATAAGACTTTAAAAATGTTTACTAGTCCTAGGGGAGTGAATGGGTGAGTTTTGGGTATGATTTCATGTTTAAAACTGAGGTATTAGTATTGGAAGAATAGTACCGATTTCGTTCTTCGGGAAAAAAACCAAGTGATTTATAAGGGCAGTATCGATACCTCTTCAAGGAGTATCGATACTCGAGGTTCAATATCGTTACTCATATGGTTGGTATCAATACGAGGCATTTTCAAAAACATCGAAGCCAAATTTGGTATAGATACTCACGGGGGTATCAATACCCTGGGTAGAGTATCGATACGATACCCAAGTATTTTTCAAAACATCGAAGTAAATTTTGGTATCGATACTCAGGTGAATATCAAGCATGATAGGATAGCATAAGATTTGCCTTTGCATGATGCTCGGGAAATGGCTAGGACACCTGAGTTATTCTAGTATTATGGCGATCATCCATTGTTTGTAAATATCCATATATTATCTGATGGTACATACCCGATGCACGTAAATTCTAGGTCATACTTGTACGGATTCCAATGCATGTAAATTTTAAAATCATACCTTATGCTCGTTTAGGTGAGCTTTTGATGCAAGTAAATTTTGGACCTCACCCAGACCTCTAGAGGATCCAAGGTAGACTAAGGGCTATAAGTTACGATGTATGTAAATTTCGGCTCTTACCCCGAAGCTATCATGTTCTAGATAGGCTAGTATGTTGTCTGAGATGCACGTAAATTCCTCCAACCACACCACTTGGTCAATCTCATTTTTTATATGTACTTATGCATGTTTATGACCTTTCACACCAGTATGTTCATGTAATGAAGACATAGTATTGCATAGTTATTCTCGTGGAATTGACCTTGTGAGCTCAGCATATGGAATGTGTTTCCGTGCACAGGTTAGTAGAGTGGATCGTGGAGGAGCCTATCGCATTCGTACATTCCAGACCAGAAGATTTCCAGAGTATATCTTGAGTCTATTTTAGAGGGAATGTATTATATTTAGACCTTGTGTATTCGAGTCATAACTTTATTTTGATTTTAAACTATATGGTTATATTGTACGTATTTTGGGAGACTCCCGTATTTTGTAAACTTTATTTCAATTCTGCATATGATATGATGGATGATTTTGATAATTGTAAAATATTTTGAAAAGAAATTTTTGTGTTGACCATTTCGGTGGTTCCATGTGGCATTATAATCCACGAATCTTCGAGTCGAACTGGATTAAGGTGTTACAAATGCAATAATAGAAGGGTATACAATTAATTTTATCCATTTGACATCGATATTGTTGGTAAAATTGATTTTTTTAGGGATCGATATCATTTTGATCTTCAATATTTAGAAAATTTTAAGAAAAAGTTCAAAAGGTATGATGTAAGGATAGTGGTGTTCATCATTCAATTCTATTCGAATTAACTAATTGAATCAAAATTTAGTGTCACCATAATATAATGTCACATCATCATTGAAAAATTAAAATAAAACCAAATTAAACTACTAAGTACATAATTTACTCTAAAATATATAAGATGAAGAAGCACAATTTACCATAAAATAAGCGTCAAATATGGGCTTAATTAGGGATGGGCACCGGTCAGGTTTGGGTTAGGTTTCGACCAATCTGATCAACCCAAAAATTATACATCCTCCATCAACTCAATTTGACCCAAAAGATATACATCCTCCAATCGATCCAAACCCAACCCAACTTTTTGAGATGAAATCCAAACCTAATTCGATACGAAATAATATATTTATTAAAAATATTATTTTTATTCAATAAAAATAGGGATTTAATTGAAAAATAGTAATATATAGAGGAGTATTATTATAATTATCCCTAAATATATAAGGTGAAGTTATATTTTTTGGGTTGGGTCGAGTATTTTTCACCCTAAACTCAAACCCGAGCCGACCCGAACATAACCTCTAAAAACTCTGACCCGACCCAATCGGGTCAGATTAAAACCATCGACTTCGGGTCCTGTGCCCATCCATGGGCTTAATACAAAAATAAGTGTCCAAATTGTATCTAAGGTTAACTTTATGTGTCTAAAGAATTTTTCGCTCAAAGTAGGTGTCTAACATTTTTTTCGTTATAATTTTAAATATCTACGTCATAATGACCATTAAAAACTGCTATTTGACACGTGTTATATTTTTATATTTTTTAATTTTTATTTAAAAAATCTAAGCATGCTATTAATTTTAAAAAACTTAACTTTTTTTTAATTACAAAAAATACTAAAACCCTAAATGTAGTTCCAACCTCATTATCAATTATTATCGACTGTCATCATTATTGTCGTCATTGAACAATCACATACCCATCACCGATCGTCATTGCTCTCGCCGTTGTTCGACAAGCCTCCAAACCAATTGTATTATTTGTGCCTCGAAACTTTTGTTCGGCAAACTTTTAAACCAATTGTATCATTTGTATGCCAAAACCTTTGTTCAACAAACCCATCGCCGCCTTTTCCCCTCTCCGTCTCCGTGCATCATGAGATTGTTGAGATTAGAGCGTGCGTTCTCATTAGATTGGATTTTTTATGGTGGGGGGGGGGGGGGAGGTGGGCGTTCATATTTGAATTTGAGAGCGGGTGCCCTTGAATGGGGACACGATGCATCATTGGGATTATAGTTTTTTTTAAGAAATGTTTTTAAAAAAAATAATATTTTTAATATAATTTTTAAAATATTTTTTTTAAATATTTTTTTTAAAAAATATAAATTTGATATGCGTCAAATAAATTTTTTAACAACCGACATGATGTATGCACTTAAAAATATAACGTTAAAAACGTTAGACATCTACTTTGAAAAAAAATTTAATCATCTAAAATTAACATATGATATAATTTATGCACTTATTTTTACATTAAACCAGTATATATGTTCAAATTACCTTTAATCATGATACTATAAATGAACTTGTCAATAAAGCTCCTACTTTGCTGTCGAATCAAATGCATCTAATGGGAGTTTTTGCATTTGTAGATTTTAAAAATTAGGATCAAACGGAATAAGCCATTGTTAAATAAAAATCTCATTTATTATTTTATTAGAAAAAATATCTCCAAACAACATTAATTAGAGAAATATCCCTCAAACTGCAAGTGTATGATGACCTCGCGTTTTGTAAAAAACGAGATTAAATCTCGTGTTCTGCAAAGCATGAGATCTATCAATTTTTTAGATATATTCATTTACTTTTTTTTGGATAAAAGGCACAAAAAATATATGAACTCACTTTTCGTAAAATACGAGGTCTGACATCGCTTTTTACAAAACGCGATATCATCTTACGTGAACAGTTTGAGAGATATTTTTCTAATTAATTTTGTTTTGAATTGTTTTTCTAATAAAATAATAAAGGGGGTTTCATTTAATAATGGCATGAAATAATAAAAAATATTTAAGGTTAAAATTTTAAAACTAAGATCAAATCCATCAATGTGTGAAAATTGATAGATATATTTATTATTATAACAACTCTTTAAATTGACTCATCGTTAGCCGTTTAACATTAGTGACGATATTTTCTCAAAAAAAACACTAGTGACAAGAAACAAATTAATTTTTTTTTATCTTTTAATAATTAGATTAAAAAAAACAGACTCGTAATTGGATGATCAAGTGGGTATAGTTTACTCTTTTAACATAATACAAAATAATAAAAAATGAAAAGCAAATCGTATTAACCCACGTCATAATCCTAATCTGTTTATTTATTATTATAGTTTTCATGGTGGCCCGTGCACCCGAATGAATTTCGTTACCGTTTAGGGTTAAAATCGTGATATTCTCATTTTTAACTGAGAATTTTATTAAATGAAGTTATAAAAAGGGGAAGGAGAAGAGAGCGCGAGTGAGAAAGCGTGCGGCGATGGCGAGAGACTACAATTACAAATCTCATGTCCTGGTTCAGCTTTCTTTCTTTTTCTTTTTGATTTGTATATTTTATCTTCTTACTTGTGTAGTACATTGGAAATATTTTATTTTCGTTTATTTTTTTCAGATCTGTTGGATTTGTATTTTTTTTGCTGTTGGTTTTTACTTTTTAA